TATTTTTGTAATCTGCCTGATGAATGTATGCAACTGTGATTTTTCTAAACTAAGAAAAGTAAATTGAACATTATCTTTTTTTATTGATGCATTTCTGTCAAATACAGATTGAAATTAGTATCAATAGATTGAGGCTATTCTACTAGGAACTTGAAACTGTCTTTCTGCCAGGAATTTCTTATATCTTGTTTGCTTTGTTTAAATGTGATTTAATTTTTTTTTATATAAACTTGATGTTATTTATATGATCATTTTCACAGGTTTACAGCTCATGTTGCAGATTTTGGTGATCAACTCTTTTAAAATTCTTAGTTAAGGAACAAAATGTTAAAGATAAAAAGATCCAACACTTTTATAATATTACTGACAAGAGGATGTGTAAAAGTTAACATAGGCTCACTAGGCAGATTACAAAAGTCAATGTGTCTTCACTCTCATACTTGTACAGAATATGGCACAAGGACAGGTTTAAATGGGATTGGATTGGTAATGAAAATTTCTCAGTTCTCTCTTGGCACTTCCCAATTGGATTGAATTTAGCCATTTAAAGTAAATGACTAAAGTGCCATGATCAGTCTATTGTGTTAGTTTAGTAAAAAAAAAAAAAAAAAAAAAAAAAAAAAGCAGATCAGTTGTGAAGAGACTGGTGGCTTGTTCCATGGAAACATTCTGGGGCAACCCACACAATATCCTCCAGAAAAATTTTCATCCCTATAGAAGGAAGGGTGAATGTAAAAAGGAATCCTTCTTACATAAAATGGTTTCAAATATTTAAGTGTTTCATCAATGTCATCAGCCAGCAGGGGGTGATAGATCACATTGTTTCAACCCCCTTTTCCCACTACCTATTGCTCACTCTCAGACTTCTTTTTTTGAGTAATGGAAAAGTCTAATAAAAGGAACAAAAAGGTGAGCACTAATGTCAAATTGATTTTAACAGCTGGAGGGTGAAGTTATTAGTGGGTCTCTTTTCTGCAGCTGAGGCAGATGACAATTTAGTATCATTTTGAAACCAGTTTCTTAATGATGGCCTTTTTCCCCTGGGTACTCTGCAGAGTGGTAATCCATCTTTCTCCTGTCAGAAACAATGACTAACAGTTTCTAGTCTTTGAGATCCTCAAACGGGAAATGATGTTGAAATCTTTTCAATTGACAGATTGACATGTCACTCCCTAAATATCCAGTAAGGACTCATGCTGACAATCTCATGATTTTGTTCAGTATACATCGCTGTCACCTGTTTAACAGTAACTGAATCCACTATTTGATTTATTTTGACCTGTACAGTTATTCCCCCAATATCTTTTCTCAAGGTTAATTTCATATTATTGAACTGCAGATCTATAGTCATGTATTCAGATAGAGTTGCTGCTATTAATGATTTAGATCAACATCAATATTTTGAAGAATTTTCAGGCAAAATCATTTTATATTTAGTTCTTTTACTGTATCTTTGATCAAATTCCATAATTCAATAGTCACCTAAAACCATCAAAGGTTTGTGTGCCATATATGCACTATCAATCTAGTCTTTCATAATAATAATAAAAAAACCACCAAATGTAGCAATTAGTATCCATTTTATTCTCTTGATTAAAGCAGTTTCTGTAGATTTATTGCTAAGTGAGAAAGTTACTGCCACTATTATTTTTTTTTTTTTTAATCTAGATCCATTTTGAGTTGCTTAATTTTCAGTTCATTCTCCCAGGAATCATACCCACTCCTCATTAAATTCTTGACATTCTCAACTACACTACTTCTGTTTTTCCATAGGTAACTCCAAGATATTTATATCCACATGCTCACTCAGACAGAATATGACACAATGCAGAGAGTTTAAAGTGCAAGTTTTACATGTATACTGGACCAGATTGGATCAGAAGGTAAAAATAGTCCAGTTTCCTTGACCTTTCTCCTTTGGGGATGGCTCAGGTACCAGGGATTAATCCTAACTATTTTTAAGAGAATGGGAGAGGTACTGCTTGAAATGGTTTAATTTTAGCCAATCAGCAAATCTCGACCAAAAGAATTGCTGAGACTAATTAGAGATGTCCAATAAATGTGTTGTAGTGATAATTCATGAACAGTTGGATATGTAGAATCTGTCAACCAATTAGGTACCAAAATGTATGAATATTGACCAGAAACAATATAAGTAGATATAGTCAAGCAAATTGACACTACGATGATACAGAGGCCAAACAACAGTCCGTGCGGAAAGAGCAGTATGGTTCTCCAAGAACAAAGAAATTAAACAACCAAAAGTTTTCAGGATATGTTAAGGTCATTATATTTTTTTGTGGGTGGGATAAAAATGTATTTTGATAACTATCTTCAGATGGGTTAAACACACCTGCTGTACCAATTAAAAGGAGATTTTGTAGAGCTTCAGGGTATGATGGGTAAATTGTCAACATTTTATATTTTTAAATTTCGCACATGCGCATTGTTTTTGATTTTGTTGACTGCACAGTATAGTTGGGTCAGTTGGGCACCATCTGTGAAGAATCTGCTAGAAATTTGAAAATGGCATGCTGTACTACTTGGCATTCATGCAGGAAGCTCCAAGACGAACATTTCAGAATGTTTTGGTGTCAATTTCAGGAGAGTGCAGAGGATTCAGAAAGAGTTGGAAGAGTCTAATCGTGATTGCAAAGGTATGGTAGCTTGGAAAACTCACTCTGATCATTCTGATAAGGAAAGAACTCCCAATTAAGTGCTTTGAAGAGGTAGTGCTCCCCTGGGTCAAGAGGGTAGCTACTGAGAGTGCACCATGCCACACAAGCAGGAGAACACAGTCATGACTGTTAGACAATTTCTGCAACCATATCACTCCTTACATCTGTTCCCAGACTGCAACACCCTTGATTATTATGTGTGGGACACAGTTAAGTGAGAGAGCAACAAAGTGACAGCATTCACCAACTTAGACAAAGAGACCATCCGGAAGAGTTGCAGGAAATTCCAAAGTCGTCTTGAGGCCATGGTTGAAACCAATAGCGATTTTATTGAAAAAAATTTACTCTTCACTATTTCAAGATATTTTTGTGCAATTTTGGTAAATATATATGTTTAAATGAGATGTCAATGTTATTTTCATTTTAGCATAATTTAGACAATAATTTATCCATCGCACTCTGTATATATCTGCTCACAGATCTGGCAAAAAATGAATGTTTTGAAGAATTTGGGAATAGAGTGAATACACTATTCATTCTACACACACCATTTGCCTGCATCTATTTCCAAACATTAAAAGAAGTTTGAAAAGGAGGAAATTTTCAAATTATTTGGAGACGATAACTGTAGCAAAAGATTGTGACAAACATCAGAATATTATTTTGGTTTTTTTTTTTTTTTTGGAATACTTAAAGAAACTTTGGAAGTGATGTATCAAGAACTTTAAAGATGAATATGTGGAATTGCATGTATTGGGGTTGTCAGATACACGCATCCTTTTTTTTCCAATGTTATTTGAATTAACATGCAAAATATTTTTATCATAGTATTTTTTTTTTTTTTGTTTTGCAGATCTATTCATCGTCTACATCTTTTATTATTGTTTTAAAAATTTGATCTCTTTTCAGATATGACGATGCCAAATACCCAAAAATGAGCATTTTCTCTATGTGTTCTCATTCAAGGTTACAAAACTACCAAAGCTACTCAAGACACTTGTGTATGGAAAAGATGCCATTAGAAAAAGAACTGTACAGAAATAGTTTTCACACTTCGAGGAAGGGAACTTCAAACACAAATTCCATTCGACCTGTTCAGTTTGATGAAGAGCATTTGAATGAGGTCATCCACAAGGATCCGTGCCAATCCACTCGGGAATTGGCCCAGCATATGGGATGCTCTCATGATACCATTGCCCATCACCTTCACTCAATTTCTTAATACTGTCGAGGAATAACAGGATTAAAATAAATGGGAAAAAAAAAAAGAAAGAAAAACTGAACACTCATTTGACAACCCAATACATTTCATGGCACCTTCTTAGAGAACTTTTCAGCACCCCTCATATATGTAAGAGGGGATGTAAAATAAAAAAGTGGTTACTTAATTTGATAGAAAATGTAGAATTAAGCATACAATATCTTTGATGGTTGCATATAGAATTGATAGAGGTATGTCAAAGAATGAGAAACAGAAATGGATAATACAAGGAATTCAAACAATAAAAAATTAAATAGTATATCAGGATGAGGTGAATAGAAAAGAAGTCACTTAGGGTGCATGCCAATTTATATTCCTTGATATAAAATGAATCCTGAGATTCATTCATCTTATTAAAGACAGAAATAAATCTGCTGATATCATTAGAAATGAAAAAAAAAAAAAAAAAATGGTTTGTTACCAAGAATTCCAAAAATAAACTTGTAAAAGTATTTTTTTTTTTTTTAGAAATATATCTCAGTTTAATAGAAAGTCACAGAGAAACCTAAAATCAAATTTGAAAAACTTATAATAAATTGTTAAGTTTGTTAAATGCTTGTAATTTTATGTTATGATCTGTTAATACTATTTAACAAACTCAAAGAAACCTGAAGCAACAAATCTTCGTTAAGTCCTTAAATGCTCTACCTTAATCTCTTCTTCAACCTGCGGGTCATCACGTTCAAAATACTGATGACCAACTGCCGAAGTAGTTGGTGCTGCCATTGTTCCTATGTTGACTCCAACAGCAGTGTGAGTATTTGTACATGTGGAAAGTGCATGTGCACCAGATGAAGGCATGAATCTTGTTTCTGAACATTTCTTTTGAAAGCATTCCTGAATTTTGTCCAATTGTTGGAGCAACTGATCCTTTTCAGACATCCAATTGCGTTCATTTGACCGCTGTACATAGCGTAGCTGAAGGAAATCTTTAGTGCTATCATATAATAGATCTTGAGTCTTTTGGAGCCTAGATATAGATTCAAATAAAAAATATAAAGAGGATTTGAGAGTACATCATCAACACTTACATAATTGTCACATAATAAAATAATTTTAAATAAAATTCTTAATCTTTAATTTCCTTTTTTTTTTAGCATATTTTTCTTTCTTCATAATATCAAATATTTTAAGTCATGACAAAAATTTACTGAAACTGTGCACAAGTTGACGGTACAGAATTTTATATGCTTAATATATGTAAAATAAATGCAACATTTGAAGCTTCTTATGACTCTGAAAATAATACCAGAGATAGGAATAAAGCTGAAGGCAAGTTTATTAAAATTTGAAAAGTTGGAACACATTTATGAAAATGAAAATCAAGCTCCTTATTTTGTTTAGCAAATTATGGTTCACCATCACATTTTTGGTATTGTGGATCATAATTATTTATAGATAAAAAGATGATTTAAAAACAAACAAAAAAAACAAACTATAATTAATAGCTGCATTTTTCTTTTTTTAAAAAAAGAACCCTATAATTAATAGCTATTTTTTTTAAAAAAAAGAACCCCATAATTAATATCTATTTTTTTTAAAAAAAAGAACCCCATAATTAATATCTATTTTTTTTAAAAAAAAGAACCCCATAATTAATATCTATTTTTTTAAAAAAAAGAACCCCATAATTAATATCTATTTTTTTAAAAAAAAAGAACCCCATAATTAATATCTATTTTTTGTAAAAAGAAACCCCATAATTAATATCTATTTTTTGTAAAAAGAAACCCCATAATTAATATCTATTTTTTGTAAAAAGAAACCCCATAATTAATATCTATTTTTTGTAAAAAGAAACCCCATAATTAATATCTATTTTTTGTAAAAAGAAACCCCATAATTAATATCTATTTTTTGTAAAAAGAAACCCCATAATTAATATCTATTTTTTAAAAAGAAATCTATAATTAATATCTATTTTTTAAAAAGAAATCTATAATTAATATCTATTTTTTAAAAAGAAATCTATAATTAATATCTATTTTTTAAAAAGAAAGCTATAATCATTTTTTTTTAAAGAAATCTGCTTTTTCTTTTTTAAAAAAGGAAGTTAACTATAATTTTTTTTCTTAATAGACCTATAATTAAGGCCTTTTTTTTTTTAATAAACTTATACCAGATATTTATTTGAATCTTTTTATTTTTAATTAATACCAGATTTTATGACTCATTATTAAATTCAAGAAACTCTCTCTTTATACAATTTCATTATATGGAAAGGAAGATGTGACAAGATTTGTCAATGTCTCCACCAACATGTGAATAAATATCTTGTTTTGTATACTTTGTGGTTCAACTAAAGAAAAGGAAAATATCTAAAAAAAATGAAAAGTACTAAATTATAGTTAATTTCATTAAAAATTATAAAAGCCCTTTTACATTTAGATTTTAAAAATATAGTAACATTGGTGCCTGACTGGGAGGTAATACTTAATGAGGTTATCTAGTAACCTATTGCTACTACATATGGAGTTAAATTCTCATGGGATGCCTTTGTATCAGAAAACAAAATATTTTCAAAGAAACTTATTTTTATCCACAATCCCACAAAGGTTAGAGGAATTTACTCACTTTTCTAGAAGAACTCTAATTTTTTCTTCATCTCTCAGTCTTCGAGCCTCAAGTTCCTCTTCTTTGACTTTACGATCAGCAACAAGAGCTTCAACATTTTCTTTTGCATGTTTTGTTTGCTCTTCCAACTGTGCCTGCAAACATTCAATCTGCAGAGAGAGTATTTTGTTGTCATTTTCCTCAGGATTATGGATTTGTTTCTTCTTTGAACCTGATATTGTAAACAATTCAAGAAGGAAAGAATTATAAAGAGAAACAACAAATGTAAACAATTCAAAAAGGAAAGAATTATAAAATTAAATAAATGTAAACAATTCAACATCTGATGCAACTTTAGTCAAGTAACTATTGACGTCAGTTACTGAATTCCGAACATAAAATTGAAATCAAGTGAATTTCTAATAATTACTTCATGCTGCTTTAACTTTCAGAAATCTCACCATTTCAGAACAGCTTTACTAAGTAAAAATGTTAATATTTATTAAATAGAAAATAATTTTAAGAAACTGACTTTTTTAGCATAAATTACAACTTCATTCTTCCAAGGATAAAAAGAATGTCTATACAAAACATATTCTTTGCAGTGAAACTAGTCTACTTCAAATTATTCAAAGAATTTTTTTTATAGTAACCTTTAAGTTATCTTATTGCAACACTTGATGGCTCATTTGAGTCCTACTTTCTGGTAACGTTTTTCCAACCAAACAGGTAAGACTTGCTCTCAATGTAATGTGTCGCAGAAAAAAGCAGAAATAAAATGAAGGAAATCAAAAGAAATGCTTTATCTAAAAATTCATAGACTATAATCTTTTAGACTTTAAAAATATAAAATATCATAAGAATATGATGGCAATAATATAATGTTGTTATAATCTATATTTTGTTGTGTAATGTCCACCATAATAACATCTGAAGTAATAAAAATTTTGGATTAAAAATAAATCCGTTAGTTCTTTAGAAATATAGTAGGCATCTCTTTTATCTCATGAGATAATGTCTCGAGCATGATTTCTAAATTAGACTCCTATAAGGGAAATGATGGGATCCCGGCTGTAATCCTAAAGAAATGTGCTCCTGAACTGGCTCCAGTTCTCTCCAAATTCTACAACTATAATCTCGCTGTTTCCTGCTTATTGAAAGTCCTCCTCTGTACTTCCTGTTTTTAAGGACTCTGGTGAACCTTCTGACCCCTGTAACTATTGCCCTATTAGTCTCCTACCACTTTTCAGCAAATTATTTGAGGATTTAATCAATGCTGAAGTGGTTAAGCATCTTACCTCTCATGACAAACAATATGGCTTTTACCAGGTCTACCACTAGCCAACACAGAATACATATATAAAGCTTTTGATAATAATGGCAAAACTTGAGCTGTGGCTCTAATCTCAAAGACATTTGACAGGGTTTGGCATACTGTTCTTCTACTAAGTTCCAGGGGTACAGTATTACAAGCCCATTGTTTGATTTAATCCAATCATGCATATCAAATTGTACCCTACAAAGTTTAACTGATTGTAAGTATAAGTTCTTTTGTAATACTTATTTTCCCTAAGACTTCCTCATTGTTCAGATCTTCTGTCCATGATATTCTTAGCATTTGTCAAGAGAAACAAATTTGTTACTTCAAGTCTCTTCTTTATCTGTGAGAAAACTATCCAGCATTCATTGTTATTTAGGGGATAAGATATTACATAGCATTTCAACACATTTTCTTCCATTTTTAACAATATTTTTCTATGTCTTAATACGTTTCTGAATTTCTGAAAGACATCTTTCACTATTCCTATGCTTCTTTGGATTTTAGTATCACATTTTCCATCATCTGTTACTTCCCTACATAGATAATTAAGCTTCTGTACCCACTTGATTTTGTCAATCCTAATACATAGCTCACACCTTAGGATGTCTCTTTTGCTGATTACCATGTATTCTGTCTCCTTACAATTAATAGTTAGTCCTTTCTTCTTGCTTTCCATTATTACTTTGTTTCTTTCAGTTTCCTTCCTTAGTCTGCCATCAACACAGTGCCATCCCTAGATCTTATGTTAAGACAACGTCTGCCAATAATAAATCCTGGTAGGACCTCTAGTTCTGTTCAGATTGTCACAATATATAGGTTGAATAAATGCTGTGAGAAGATGTATTTCTATTTTTATCCTCTATCATTGTGTTCAATGGATTTATTATTCTCTATATACATACAGGTTGAGTGGCATTTAATCAACTACTATAAATTTAAATACAGCCTATTCTAAAGTAGCACAAATATAGTTGAACATAATATGTATATATTGAAATAGTACAGAAAACAAATTGCTATGATTTTTATATAAAAATTGATTAGATAATATTTAGTCTGTAATATTTAAAATATTTTACAAACATCAGAAAAAAAGATTAGTGAGAGCCAAGATCCAATTGTGATTTTACTCTTGCTAATATACTCACACACTTTGGCTGAAGTGTTATTGTCTTGTTTATATGGATATTTCTGTTCAATGATGGCTTTTGCAGGTGGCTCTTTATGAAAATAGGTTACCTCCCCTGACGGATAGTTGCCAAGTGAAAGCAACTGCTGGATTTTCTGTTTATCTTCAAGTTCACGAAGCTGGAGAGGAAAAAAAAAACAAAAAAATTATAATAGTTTGATAATTAGACTCAAGTAAATGTTAAATGTGCCAATTTTTCCCTACTGAGAATGCAAGATTTTTCTATAATTCCCAAAAGAACATTAGCAATTATGTATATGAAATAAGAAAACGACAGGAATGCAAAAAGAAAAAAAAGATACTATAATTTAACTTAGATTTGACATACTCATGAATAACTACTCAATTCCTAAATTTTCATGGGGGGGGGGGCTTCTTGATTGTACAATTTACTATGAGGAAGTAGATGTGGCAAAACCAACCCAAACAGCGGCAACTTTTTCATATTGTGTATTATAGGAGATCAGTTAGATAGGAAGGTGGCAGTGGCTAAAGAAGAAGAAAAAAAAATAAAGTTTTCTTAATCCAGCCAATATTTAATAAAGAAAGCAGTACAAAGAATGTGAATTTGGGTTTGCTGTCATTTTAGAGAAGTTCTCATTTGTACGAATTTCAATGAGTAAGCAAATACAGATCTGGATATTACCCTTCCAAGAACATTGTTCTTAAACCATCTCAGTGAATTTCTTTTTATTTGTTGCTGTTTTAAACACATCAACCCAAACAAGGCAATAAAGCTACTAAGATGCAAGGGGTTACGGAGTGTCAGAGAACATGAGATTAAAAAAAGCCATTAAGGAGATAGAACAACAAAAGATCAGGAATTAAGAAGACAGAAAATAACGAATGACATTGCATTTAAAAAGCATGTTTATTTCATGGAGATGGAGCAATCTGGAGCATTTGTCATTCCAAACTTCTGAAAGAATGGCAAATATCAGTTTTTTTTTTTATCAATTCACCACAAGCAAGGCCACAATGCCACTAAGATGCAAGGGGCTACTGGGAGTGAAAGAGAATGAAAAGATTTTAGAAAGAACCGGAAACCCAATCCTAAACAAGTAACAAGGGATAAACCTCTACTCCTGTTCAAAAGAATGGAAAAATGTGTGAACAGGATGATAGTCAAACCTATCACTTCCTATTGAGGAGAAGATAAAAATAATTAGTAAATAAAATTTCAGTGTTCATCTAGAGATGTTGGAAGTATAGACTTGATGTAGGCTTTAGAAGGGACCAGAAACCCAATCCTAAACAGGTAACAAGGGATAAACCTCTACTCCTGTTCAAAAGACTGAGGAGGAGTGTGAACAGCATGATAGGCAAACCTATCTACTCCTTTTAAAATTGTGGAAGATATATTCAGACTGTTCAAATATTCAAATGGTTTTGCATCAAATATGTCTGGTCTATTTTAAATTGTGAAATAAAGAGAGAATCCAGAAAAGTTGATTCCTGCTTCTAATACAGCCTGGTTTGATAGATAGCCTAAAAAAAGATATCAGAGTTGATAAAGTTCATAACCGAAACAGTCTTACAAAATATATTAACAGTAAGTTTTAGGTCTTATAATTAATATAAAATATTAATTTTTTTTTTTGATCACTGAACATAAGCCAAGTTGAAATAAAAGAAAGTTATCTCTTTTTGTTGTGTCTGTACAATTACAGCACTTGATCAAACCATATATAAATGTATCTATGGATAATTTTCATGCTAATGTTCTTAGTCTTGTTAGATCAAGACTTTCATGTGGATGCCATACATGGAACAAAACTCATTCAAAAATATTAACCACTTTCTCAAATCAATGGTTAAAAATAGCTCTGAATGAGTGAAGCATGTAGGTCTTAGTGAGGACCAGCTTTCTTTAAAGCTTATGGACTACAAAATCACAAAGAACATTACCATATAACAGAAACTACATCACCAAACCTTCAAGAGCAGCAACAACAAAAATGGATAGCACATGTAACACGAAGAGAGAATAATTACAAAAACAAAATGCTGATATCCCACACTACCTTAAACAAAAGGCAAGGAAGTAAAAACCCATCAATATTGTAAAATGCATTAACAATTGGTGGACTTGAAAAACCTATTTTCCTGAAAAATTGTTTTAAGAGAAAGATTTTATAAATTTCAACCAAAAACAGCACAGGCTGCTCGGTTAATGAATGCCAGATGTTTCCTTATAAGGAAATGGTTAACATCGCCTTTTTAAAAACTTCAAATTGTTCTATACATACTCCTGAATTCTGCTGTTTCTTTAAATTATCTGTAATGTTTTGTCTTCTGATTTTAGAATAAAACAAAAATGAAGACTAGAGATTACTTTTAATCTGTCATTTTCTGCATAGAGCCGGAGAACATGTTCCTTCTCCTGGAACAGGAAGATCTGCATATCACTCAGAGCTTTTTGTAGTTCAGCAATTTCCTCTTCACGTTGTCGTAATTCCCACTGCAACCTTCCCTAAAAGTGAAAAAAAAAAAAAAATACAATTAAGAGTCAGAAAACATTTTTAATGTTGACAAAACAACTTGAGCATTGGGGATCTGTCTCTGAAACAGCACCTCCCCTATTGTACCAAAATAAGAAGAGCCTAGCATTCCTTGATATTTTCAGTTAATGAAGAGGTACTTCAAGCATTTTTCCAAAAGAAAACAACAAGAAAAAATAATTTGGTTTCATGACATAAATCATGAAGAGAATGTAGAGATATACATTAGGCCCTCCAACCAATATATATATTCTAAATGACTAACCTAGAAAATAACGTACTTAATACCACAACAAAAAAAATCCATTTACCTAAGATATGAAGATGATATTCACATTTTAGGTCAAAAGCAGGCAAAATACAAAAACAAAAAAAAAGTTAATATTCCCAATTACTACTAGAAGTATTGCTACAATTTTTACCTACTTAAACGTAATACTATCACCTATCTTCATCTCCCCCCCCCCTCACTCTTAGGACGCTTGTGAGATGATGTGCCTGGACTTTTGACCGGTGTTTATCGGGAAAAAAATCTCCACAGACCAGTCAACATTAAACACACAATCCATTCATCACCAAACTGCTATCAACAAGCACTATTGTTTCACTCCGTCACCTATATATTTTTTTCTTCTCAAACAAATGGAAAAAGGAAGTGATTTTCACACACAGCTGACCCACAAGCAGGATTGTTCATAAGCATTTTCGATTCTCACTCGTTGAAGTGCAGTTGAAATGCACTGAAACCAAGTTGCACCTTTGTAGTGAGTAAAATGGTTTTGTCTATATGATAAAATTATAATAAATAAATAATTATCGCTCTACTATCGGTATCGAGCCCTCTTTTGGATTAATGATGTAAACTTTGGAATTTATATATTACTTTCGTTCTCATCGCATTGGATATATATATATATATATATATATATATATATATAGTGAGTGAGAGAATATGGATGTCCATATTTCTGAGATGAGGTATTGTAATTATTTACATTGTTCGGACTGTTGTGCCCATCTTTGTTGCCATATTCACAATGTTTCAGCTGTTGTACACTACAGCTTCTTCAGGTGATTGGAATTTTGAACTGAACCCTTTAATGTTCAACACTTTGCAGACACCTCTTCAGAGTAAGACCTCCCATAAACGAGAACCTGATTAAGGACTGTGTGTACGCTATCCCATGCAGCTGTGGGAAGAAATATAAAGGGAAAAATAGGCCAAAACCTTAAGACACGACTGCAAAACACCATAAGGCCATAGCACAAGGGGAATAGAAAAATCAGGCATAGCTTACCCAGTGGCGTAGCTAGAGTAAACGTCACTCAGGGCGGTCTGCTCAAATGTCACCCCAATGACCCCGATTCACCCTATGCTGAATGGTTAGCTGTAGCTAAATTTTCATACATGCTCTACCTCTACTTTACTCTACTGACCGGTACGTTACTGTTTACATGTATGATCCAAGACAAACTCCAATACCACAAAATAATCAGTTCAAATCAAAAGCTGAAAACATTGCTATTTTTCCTACTCACAAATTTCCCGACAATTTATTAGAAAATTTCTGACAGGGGGACGAAACTGGGGGGTCATAAGTTATTTCTGGGGGGGTCATATGACCGCCTGCAAAACCCTGTCTCTCCAACACTGTTTTCAGACTATTTTTGGCACCTTAGCCTGGTTGAAAAATTTTGTTGTGTCACCCCCTCCTGTACTGGCACCCGGGACGGTCCGCCCCCCCTTTAGCTACGCCACTGAGCTGACCACATATGGAGGGAAAAAGGAGATCACCTCCCCCTCTGGAATGAGGTTGAAATAATAGACAGAGAACAACACTGAAAAATACAAAAACTTAAAGAATCCACATATATGCTAGGCCACAATAAATTTCCTAAGTCGGCCAAGTATAGAAATGAATACCATATGGAAACCAATAATACAGAGTGCTAGAGAAAAACAATAACAAAACTGTAATATGAGTTCTGATAAAAAAAAAAATTATTACTGAGACATTAGGTTGATAAGTCCCCAAAATTCATACACTGATGTCCTCAAGGACACATGGCCCACTGGATAAAAGTATTGGTTGAATCTAGTGACTTGACCCAAAGAGTTGTGAGTTCAATACCTGCCTACAGCTACAAAGGTATCTCCTACACATATAATATCATAAAAAAAAAAAAAAAAAAATAACATTAGTCAAATGAAGTCCCTATAGAGGCCAAAATTAATTACACAGAATTTTGTTCTACTTTGTCATTCAATTGTCTAACACTGTTCAGATATATAAAAATTATGTATCATATTCTCCCATAAATGTGGTTGAATAATCAATTGAATATTATGAGTTTAGGTAAAAGTTTATTAGTAAAAAAAGGCAGCTAAAGTCAACTATTGCTACAGAATCTTCTAAAATGTTAAGTTCAAAGATGATAAGCCTTGTTACAAAACTTTTATCTTTATTAAGAAAATAAGAGAAAAATTGTAATATAAATTGCAGATACACAAATAGAGTGTAAAGTTTTTCAAGAACAAATATTGAATAGACAAAGAATAAGTCAATAAATTGGAAGAAATCAATTTCATTGCATTCAGTTCTACCAATTTAACACTATGAAAGGTCAAATGACTTCAAAAAGTGATAATAATGGAACAAACTATATTTCTATTTGTATTCAACTTTCAAACAAAAAGGAGAAAATGGTTGTCTGATTTTTGAGAAAAACAAAAAACAATTTTTTTTCCAATTTTATAAAATTAAATAAGTTTCATTAGCAATATTAAATAGTAATGTTCTACAAGTCTCAGAAAAAAAAAAGAACTATGTCATTACAAACCATCATTTAACAATTTTAAAGACTAACTTTGTCAAATATGTTAGTAATCAATATCTGAAAATATGGAAAATGTTATCAATATCAGTATTTATTCAAATCATCCTCAATATCCCTTTCTTTATATTTCTACACTCATTAGCATATAATCTTATAAAAAATTGTTATTTTTTGTTTTTTGCCAGTAGTCAAAAAAAAAAAAAAAAAAAAAAGCAAATGATAATGTGATTAGATATACACAAAATGGACTCTACTGTGTTTGCACATTTGCTAGAGGTAAGGACTACTATTACCAACATTTCAATTCCATTGCTTGAAAATTATTAAAAAAGCAAAAGTTGTGGAAGAATCAAAATTCAATTATTTTTTTTTAATCATAGTATGCTACAGATAAATAATACTCAGGTCTTCTTACAAATATCATTTGCAAAATAAGAATGGAGTCAACATTTTAATCCTGTTTAAGATATAATCTACAAAGTTAACTCACAGTGTGAATCTCATTAATGCTTTACTGAGATTTGTACAATTTCTGTTGCAAAACCCAAATTCTCTAATGATAAATATTTGTAATTCAACTGCAGAAATTTTGAAAAGGAAAAAAAAAAAGCAATTTTTTTTAACAATATGAATACTGACTATTCCTTTTATTAAAAAATAAAACCAAGAATGGTACATACAGATTCCTCAAAGGTGTCCTTATATTTTTCCACTTTGTTAACTACTTTATTGTGTTCATCATCATATTCAGCAATCTTTTTTCGATAATATTCCAGAAGTTCACGTGATGGTCGCAGCTGACCTAAAGAAAATCAAAAAGCAACATGGCTGACTTCATTTTTTTTTTTTTTCTTTAATAACACAAATATGTTCTCTCTATAACGACCAGCAATGAACTCCAACCTCAGCACATTATTATTAATAAGAATGAAAAGGATTCTTTTAATCTGTAAATAAATGTATCAGTATAAAGAGTTTTGTGTTTGTGCATAAAATTCAAACTTCTAAATTTTTAAGTTTGAAGCTAAAAAGAGATCTTAAAATAAAAAGTTAAAGTCATTCACAGTCAGATTATAAATAAGTACAATAAGACAAAGTCCAAGATATTTAAAAATCCAACAGATCAGACTCTTGTTTCATCAAAGCAAGAAGTCAACTGAGAAAAATATGCAAAATGCTATTTTTAACAAAATAAAAGTGAACATTTGTCTAAAGTTCTGAAGTATCATCCTAGCTTAGTGATCAATTTGGATGTGTATTCTAGAAGGTTCTCTTAAAAACTATAATGCTAAGGATACTATTCATTTTTGACCAGTTAATACAATTACTAAGAATATATAGCAATATGACTAAATTTGTACATTGCCCCTTGATAGTTCCTTGTAGCCAAATAGGTAAAGTATCACCTATGTCAGACACATTCTTGAGGATGTGGTGATTACCTTCAATTCATTGTATTCATTAGTCTTAGAATGTAAAAACAACTAGTGTTAATTCAAAAATAATAATGAAAAGGAGTTATTTAAGAAATTCAGGCAACTTAAAGTTTTATGTCTACCAATATGAAGATACCAGTCTGAAGGCAACTGCCCACAAATAAAAACTGATAACACATTAAAATATCTGACATTAATTTACCTTTTATTTTTTTTTATCCACAGGCTAAAAAATTGTTTTGATGAATCAAATTACAAAAGCAATAATAAAATTATTAACCAAAATGAAAGTTAAAAAAAGCTAATGATATGATAAAATGGTAATCAAACACATACTATATATATATATATATATATATATATATATATATATATATATGATAGATAGAAACTTAATGTAGAATTTAATAGTAAACTATTTATGATAGTTGTTCCATCATTTTTCATTCATACTTTTATTTAAAATTTGGTAAACATGATTATAGTTTGTTTATGTAAAAAGAAAATAGATTCACAATAGCATGGCAAGTTTGAGAACTGTGTTTAAATGCTGCAATAATAATAATACTCAGAATCTTTAGTTAAAACTTATAATGGAAGGCCAATCAGAATTAATATTTTTATCAACTTGAAAGATATTTTACAATAGTTTTCATTATCTGTCTATATTTCTGAGATGAGGTATTGTAATTATTTACACTATTTACATTGAACTGTTGTCCTCATCTTTTTTACCATATTTACGACCTTTCAGCCATTGTATGCTCCAATATTAGGTGACTGGAATTCCAAATTGAACCCTTTTATTTTGTCCACCGAAGTAGATTGTTCAAATGGCCCAGTAGATAAAAATGTTGGTTGGATTCAGTGACTTGACCCAAAATACCTGGCTACTGCAGTGGTGAACAAAAACTTGAGTTAAAGGGAGATAACTGAGACATCCAGAAGAGGCATGGCACACGTATCTAGAACAATTTACCCAAGTGGACAAAATAAAGGGTTCAGTTCAAAATTCAAAATGGGGAATACAACAGCTGAAACGTTATGAATATGGCAACAAAGATTAGGACAATAGTGCAATGTAAATAGTCTTCACTATGTTCAAAAGCGGACATTTTCCTTTGAGTTAAATAAGTAATGCTGTTTAAATAACATAAAAATGAAGGTTTTCGAGTCAACCCCAAACCAGTGAATTACATTTCTTCAAACTGTTTTCAAGCTTAGAAAAACTAGAGAAAGACTAATCTATGCATTCCATTTGGGAGGAACTGTAACAGGAGCAGATAACTCCTGTTATCTCCCTTGAAACAATTTCATTGAGAATTTATTTTCACTATACGTAATATATAAGTAAATAGTGAAAAAAAAAAAAAAAGATTTAAATGGTACTCATTAGATTACCATATCAGATTTAAATACTTTTCCTCTCAACAGAAATTTTTTAAAAATTAATTTTATTTATAAGATGTACTAGATTTCAATATGATTTAATATACTTAGGTACCGTTTGTGATAATTAGTAAATACTAAATAGCTTATATTTTGTTATTACAATCTTTTTCTCATGAAACACTTTCCATGATTTCAGATAATACCAACAACTTTCACAGTTCCATCAAATTCACAATGGAATATTCAGTCACTTCCATAGCTCAAGCACAATCACATCACTACACACCAAACCTACAGATGGTCATTCCATTGCTACTTAGATTTACCAACCTAAAAAAAAAAAAAAAAAAAAAAAAAACACACAATTTATCCCTTAGATTTCCACATACAAATATCTATTCTGACACTGGGATTATGAAAACACACAGAGCATCTGATCAATCACTTTCCAAATAGAAATTATTATCACAAAAAAAAAAAAAAAAAAAAACACACACACATACAAACACACTTCCAAATAAATTTTTACATCCAACTTTAAAAAAACAAAATTCAAATTGTTGTGACAAGTGTTTCATTATACATTTTCAGTCTGATCTTTTATCTTCATTAATAAGCAATTGTTTTGCTCATAGCTATTCTAATTAAATTCTTGCTGCTTCTTTTATATGCCAAGTCTTTTCAGGAGAGAGAGAAATAAAAGACAGGAAATTGCCTAAGTAACACTTTGCCTCCTTTACTAAACCTCTTTTTGGTCAGTGTACTGTCACCAAGACATTCAAACTTGTTAAATAGGCTATTTGCCATTTTTACCCCAGATTCTCTTGTCTTCAGTTTCTTTATGGTTCTGATCTGATTAAAATTCCTCATTAATTATCTATAGTATTACAGTTAATGGTTAGTTCTTTCTTCTTTATTTCCTAAACTATTTTCTTTAATAGTTCTTTCAGTTTTCTTTCTTTCAGTGTTTGCCATCAACATGGTGTCTTCTGCATATCCTATTTTGTTAGGAGAGATTAAGCAATTGATTTTTTGTTTTTGATTTTATTAATCAATTCTGAAAGCCTTGCTAATCTAAAATTTAATTTCTAACATGTTTATTATATTTTTTAAAAATTAATCATCTTCTGATATATATTGTTTAATAATAGTAATAGGACTTAGTAATTTATTGAGTTTATTCTAACAAACAATATCGTAAAAAGTTAATGCAACATTTTTGTACAAAGACTCATGTTAAAATTAAATTTTCTGCATTTTATTTATTGTTTCAATCTTTTTTTAGATGTTAAATAAATAAAAAAAACTATAAATATTTTTCAGAAGTGTTTTTAATACCTGTTGATGTAGTTACTATTAGATATTTTTTTAATTTTTCTATAATTTTCATGAATTATGAAATTTAAGTAAATAAAACAAGATTTTTTAAATTCAATTTCTTATACTAAAATAAATTAGGAATGACATTTATTTAGAATTTAAATATTTAAATTTAAAGTTAAAATTTAAGAAAAAAGCAAAAAATGAACTTGCTCAGTTTTTTTTTTCGTTTATTCACTCAGAATATCTGAGAGGAAGGATAAAATGACATCTTCAGTTTTTAGTTTATCTTTTTTTAAAGTTAGCATATTTATGATATAAACAAACTAAAAAAAATTCTTCTTAGAGAAAAAAATTACAACTGAATGAAAAAAAATTGAATTGAAATTAAAATTGAAAAAAAAAAAAAAAAAAAAAAAAAAAAAACCTTCCCACTATGTCTTTTTTTTGAAAGTAGCTTCATGTTCATTTAGATTCAAGTTTTGTTTGATTGTTAAATGCTTAGTTTTCAGACTGATTTTTACAATTAGTAGTGCAGTAGTACCATTACAATCTTTGAGTAGTTTCTAAACCTTATTTTTACCATTAAATTGTGTTCTTATCAAAAAACGAAATTCAGAGAATCTTACACCACTTTAATTAAAAAAAAACAAAAAAAAAAAAAACAAAAAAAAAAACACATAAATTCTCATGATTTTCATTCCAACCTAAAATGTTTATAAAGAAAATAATCTGTATAGTTAATGTGCATATGATCATAGTGCCACAGTCAATGTTCTTGCATGGTCTTTTGCCATAAACAACACTGGAGACTTGTTAGTTTTATAATAAGACTTATTAATGCTTACATTATTTGAACTAAGACATTTTACAGTTGTATGATAATATACCCACTAGTAACTGATTAATACAATTAAATCATAGTTCACTTTTATAATTTCCTGATAAAGATAATCCCAAAACAAAGTTTTCTGATCTGTTATAAAGAAGACTTGTTTATCATTTCTAATCCATCAATATCAACTGTAAAAAATTACTACTTACCAAGTCTTTCAGTTATACTTGGCAACTCTGCAGAATTACACTTTTCAACAGCATGAGATGGACTTTTGTTCTGTTTCGGCTTTGTTTGCTGGTGACAGGGAGTTAACACAGGATTGCTCACAGGTTTACGAGTGGTTGTTTTTGAAAGGCCAGTGTTCTTAGAGATTTTCTTTGTGAGAACTTTCTTCTTTGCTGGTCGCCGAGATGGACTGGAGGCTCTCTGAGTCTCAAGAGGATATGTGAAGTCTGAAGCAAGTTCTTCAGGACTTTGAGGTGAAGCACACTGCCTTGTAATCTGTGCACAGTCTTCACCAGATGTTTCAGCCAGAAAAAAGGCTTCTTTCTCATCAACAAAGGCATCAGCTGACAAGTCTTTTGTAAGGTCATCAAGAGAGAAATCATCAATGACTAAAGCATTTGTGGAACGGTTCAACCCACCATGTGTCTTGTAGGTATTCATTTTATTTCTATAAAAACAAACCAAAAAAAAAAAAAAAATAAATAATAAAAATTCTTTTAAAATCCAATCTTCTTTGGTTAATGTTAGAATAATACCAAATGACTAATAGAATAATACCAAATGACTAATAGAATATTTATAAAAATAGAAAGCATTGTTTTGCATTAGTAAAATCATAGGTAGGATTAATTAAACATGAAGATTTTCATTTGCTTTAATGATTAACTTGTTGGCACAACAAATACTAAAAACATATACAAGGAAGTAAGTGCCAAAATTAAAAGCACATTTTTCATGTGAACAGATGTAGCCGGCCAGAATGAATGCACCATGCCTTGAAAGACTACTGGGGCTCAAACTTGCACCTGACCATAATCCATTGCTAAGGATGCGGGTAAAATGGTCAGCTCCCCTGTACCCATCTAATAAGTACTTGACCCCTCCTGCTATCTTCTACCTTTACAAGAGCCAAATCAGGCCAAAAATGGAGTACTACCCAGACATTACTCTCCAGCCTTAATAGAGTCCAAAAGCGTCTTCGAGTCCTTGTGAGTGACAAATTATTCTCCACCCTTCAATTCCTCTCTCACTGCTCTTTTGCTACTTCCACAAAAGAGTGCTTGGACAAACTACCACCAATTCAAACATTCATGGCAAGGACACACCATGCTATTTACATAGTAGCGAACCACCTACATTCCATCCATATTCCATCAGTGAGAAGTAAGTTCCACCCTAGCAATTGCCCTGTAGAATCAAACCCAAAGAGGATGTTTTCCCAATCACTACAATCTTAACCTATTCAAGGCCAGGGTTAACTGTTATCTTCCACTCCTATTTGCACAAACTGCCTCATAACATAACCCTCTACCTCAAGTGGCCCCTGGCCTTGTAAATGGTTAACCTTACTGTAAAAAAAAAAAAGAAAAAAAAAAAAAAAAAATAAATAAATTAATATTAATAATTTAGAAGGTTATTTATTCTGTGTGCACAAAAGTTGCCAGTATTTATCCCATTTTTGTTTTTAACTAAAGACTGAATACACTTCTCATTTCATACTAATGTTCTTTGGAAAGCACAAATCTACATCCGTATTATCAGCAAACACCCTGACAAAATATATCAAATTGGCATGTCACAAGAAAATATAGTGGAGGTGTAAGAAATTCTCCATAACTTCTTTATTTATCCAGACAGCAGGAATTAAAAGCTGTTAACATGTAGTCAACATTGATGGGCTAATAAGAGAATGCTTACACAAAAACATTGCTATGAATGATATACAAAAATGTAGCCCTTCCTCAAATCAATAATACACTTTTCATAATGTTATATGAAATTCATTTTGCAGGGATGTGGCTGTCTATGAATTCTCTAAAAAGAATCTTTTTCAGAAACCTAATTACTTAACAATTGAATTAATAGCAGAGCAAATATGGATTATTATTTGTAAATAGTTATGTAACCCTTGATACAAGAGATAGGATTTGTTAAAATACATAAAAAAAAAAAAACTTCCATTCTAAACTATAAAGATTATATGACAAAACAAAGTCTGTCGGTGATAAAGAATCAAAACAATCAGTGCTGATTGTATTTGGATCTGATAGAAAATATACAAAGTTGTTTTTCTGATTTCATTTACTACTGCCCACTGACTTTACTGCTACTCTCATTTACATTTAGCTATTTTTCTTTTTATGGTGACAGTGTAAAAAAGGTTTTGATGATTAAACATTCAATTTTGAAATGTTTTACCTAAAATTCATTTTAGTAGGTTTTGGCACTTAATCTGTATAAAATGTGTTGAAAAATAGAATTTTAAAAAATTACTTGTCAAGAATGAAATCAAGCATTAAGGACCAAACAGGATTATTGTAACTTTAATTGGAAATCACTCTGATGTGTCATCATTTTATATAAATATAGCTTACAGTTTACTGAAAAAATAATTCAGATAGCAGTTTTACATTTATTTCTAGTGAATATTTTTAACTTAAATAATAAAAAAAAAAAAAAAAAAATGGGATTCTTACTACCACATGGATGTGTGTTGATCCCATTAGTTGTAATTTCCATACTAAATTGTTTGTGTACACACACACACACAAAGTATCACAAGTCAAATGTACACTTAACCAACCTATAACTTTAATATCACTTTTTCAGTTAAGAAGTGTGTTTACATTTTCATAGATGCATCCATTACATACAGTGTGATGTGTTCTTTTTTGAAAATCATTACTTATTTTGACTTATCTATACTTTCAATGTTTTAAATTGCTTTTTAACACAATTTTGACTCATGTCAAACTATGAATGCAGGATTGGAAATAAAGATTAAATGCTTGATGAGATTAAGATAAAAATGATCATCAAAGTAAATACTAATACAAAATTATTAATAAGGATTATCAAGATTTCAAACAAATATAATATTGCCCACTTTTGAAAATATTAGATTTATTTCAGTAATTATTAAAAAAAAAAAAAAATATATATATTTCAATTTGTTCTACGATTTTTTTTCTAAACCATAGAAAGAACAAATCTCTGAGGAAACAACATTGAGGTTTTAGAAAAAAAGTTTTAAAAAGTTCTCAGTTAAAAAATTCAAATTTTTCAGCACCATGAAAACCTAAATTGTGATGGGAACTTCAACTTAGGATTAAGTAAACAGAAATAAAACAGGCAGCAGTTGATGATCAGCAAGTGTTACCCTGAGTCTCTCATAGCAGATATGTTGGTGTTATGTACCCTGACAAGATATACATGGAATCTGGGATTATCAGAAAGTAAACCAAATTAAGATGAACTCTAATAAGGATAATCAAATTATTCTCATGAAGATATTCAGTTTCACTTTACTCATCAAGACATCTTTTGTGAAACAATCATGACAGTAGTTAAATGTTATTGATTCCAGATTCAAACTTAACTCTATCTTTACTAAATCCATAAAAGCTTGTCTTTTTGGAAATTTATCAACTGCTGCAACAATTTTAATACTTTACATTCCCCTCCCCATTAATAATGAAACACTTTATTTTTAAAAGAAGAACAGATTCCTTATTTTTAAATTTCCATTCATATTCTTGACAGTCTTCAACTTTTCATCATATCAAGTTACAATAAGAAAACATTATGCATGGATTTACACTCAGCACCTAACAAATAAAAATATCAATAATTACTTAAATTAAAAAAAAAAAAAACTCTTAAAAAAAAAAAAAAAAAAGAAATAAATAAATAATATGATGATGCAAGCAGCACACACAAATAGACAATATTAACATTAAAAAAACGAAGAAAAAAAAAATGTTAAAAAATAAAAAAGCATCCATCATTCTGAAAAAATAAAAACAAAAAATAATCAGATGAAAGAAAATTTTTGTTTAAAAAAAAGGTTTGAATTAATTTATTGCAATTCAGTTCTATTTTTAACTTTTCAAAATCCATGAGGGCTTACATCATTACCATAAGCTAAAGAAAGTTTGAAAAATCATGAGTGCTTGACAAACCCATTGAATAGATGATAGTAGTAGAAGGCTAATAATCTATACCTCTCCAGAAAAAGAGGTGACAAAAAAACCCTCATGGGGTGGGAAAGACAAAGTAAATAGAATGATAAAAATTCAAATGAGATGAAGATTCTACATGACAGCAAAAAGGAAAAAAAAAAAAAAAAAAAAAAAAAGCAAACAAGCATTAAGCAGTTAAAAAAAAAAAAAATATTTCAAAGATGTGAACAATTGTGTTTTACTATTTTTCTCAGTTAATATCATAATGCATTTGCATTTAAAACATTCAGAATTCAGAAATCCAAAAGATGATACAACAGGCCATGGATTTTCTAGAAAAAAGCAAATAATGAAGGTGTCAACAATTGACAATCAGCATTTATACAAAAGAAAAATAGTTTTAATATTTATAAAGAGAAAAAGAAATACAGTTAAAAGACAGATTTGTTTATATTAAAAAAGAAAAAAGTGGTTAAATTTTAATTAGAATTCATCAACAATTTATATTATTTTTTCAATTTAAATATTACATGTTTTAAACAGAGCTCTAAAATTGAGATAATTGAACAAATAGTTAAAATTTTAATGCATTATCATACATTAAAAATTCATATGTTTTTAATGTTTGTAAATTTTTCTTCTATGTACCATGTCCATTCAAGATGTGGGCGATCATGGCTCTCCACAATTTCCTGCTCTTTGTAGCACTTAGTGATTTTTTTTTTGTCTTTTTGCTATCCCTCCTAAACCCTATTCTGCAAACTCTTTACACAAGCCTGTTAGTGAAGGTATGCATGGTTTTCCCCTGCCCCTCTTGCTTTCAATGTCCCATGTATATCAAATTTTCTAAGCCCACTTTCCTCATTACATGCTCTAGAAATTTCAACTATCTCTTCCTGATGTTAAGTAATGACTACAATATACCATATTTGATGGAATGGCACATGCATATTAGAGACACTGCCATTCCAGGAAAAAAATTTGAATCTAAACACATAATATTTTAAAACAAGCTAGCAGTGCAACTAGACATAAAGTAAGAGACATTATAGTATTAAAAATAACCTAGAGGATTACAGTAATAAAACTGTGCAAGAGAAAAGAAAGCAAAGTATCATTACCATTGAACATACGCAAACCAAAACTCAGTAAGAGAATGAGAAAAATCATTTAATGTTCTGTAATAATATCTTTAAAATGACCATCTCAGCCTAAAAACACATCATCAATACCACTGGTACCACTGTCTTTAAATAAGGCATTGTTTTCTGTTGTATCAAGGACATTGCTCATGCCACATTTCTTAATTCCAGTTCTGACATTTTCCCAAGATTTCTTCCTGCAGTCACACACTTGGACAATAGTTGGAACATTTTATTCTTCCTGTGGACATCAGGTCATGATCTCCCAACCACTTATTCCAAGGTTTCCACTAAATATGAATAAATGTTTTATTCACACACATCTTAAGTGCTGAAATTGGCCC